TCATCTAATTTTATGATTTCAGCTATTGCCTCTGGCTTTCAAATTGTGGTCTGGCTTGACTTCTTTTGAGAGATCAGACTTTGGTTCCCAGCTGCCTGCTGGGTGTGCACCGTGGGCATCCTGCTTCAGGTACCGATGCCCTTTCAGGCACGCAGACCCTATTCCACCTCGTTACCTGTGCGCTTCATGCATTGCATTCTCTCAGTGGCTCAGGCTTCACATTTGAGAGTCAGTTTCAGCTGCTCCCAAGCATTTATCTAATAATGTAAATTCTCTTTCTGGAATTTCTTGAACTAGGGATGACCTTGAACTTTCCACTGTCCTAGTTTAGGCTTTAAATATGTTCTCTCAACTATTATGATAGTTTCTTAACAAATCTCTTTGAATTCTGTCTTTGGCCCTCAAATCTATTGTTGCACCTGCTAACAGTGAATCTGCTAAAGTACAGATCACATCATCCCATTTCCTCAAAAATTTCTGGGACAACTTATTGCGAATTAAATAAAATTCCAATTCTGCAATCTGTGGTGAAATATCCCTCTCATCGGGGCCCAGCTTCTGTGCTGCCTGTCACTGGCTGGGGCTGCTGCTCCTGACCACCTTCACCCCGTGGTTGCTCGCCCCACTAGCAGACCATCCGCATTTGCGACTCTCTGCCTGGCAGTGCACCACTGGGCTTTTGGAGGCTGGGAAGCACTCCTAGGAGCTTTCACAGGTTCCTCTGGGAGAATAATAGCCCCTCGTCTAGTCACTGTAGAATTTGGGGTAGCAGGTTAGCCTATAAGCTAAAATCAAATAGTGTTTTATCAAAGATCATATATTTTTTGCACTAAACATGAAAAGTCTAGTATTAAATTATCATTTTTATTTTCTACCCTCAGCATTGCAGTAGAAGACCAGGATGTTAATTAAGTATTACCATGGAGGGTCAGGAAAGAAGAGAAACTCACATGACACTTTGATCCTACAGTGTAAGTTTTCTTAAGTGTTGGTGTGTTGCACTCCAAGCTAAAGACTGGAGATGCCAATGTAATATCCGTTACACTCAATAAGTTTGTCCTTGGACTGGGGAGAAAAGGTTTATGCCATATGACATAATTTCACTAAATTTGTGGTGCTGACAGGAGGGACCAGGTGGCTAGGATCAAGTGTGGGTATGTGACATTTCACTCTTTTTTGATTTAAACATTTGTTTTTCAATATTCTGATTTTGTACTTGGCATGGATAGTTTGAAAAAGTCTTATAAGAATAGTTTTTTTTTATCTCTCTCCTATTTCTTTATTTGGGGGTCACGGTGGGGTGGTGGTCTCCTAGATTCTAATGAAGGTAATTTCAGCAAAAATATTTTTTAAATTAAGTTTTTTAATGTAAATCTTCTTCAGCTGTTTCACATTGAACTTGCTATAATCCCTCCTGCTTTTATCCATCCATTCATTAAGTGCCCACTGAATGCCACACTCATTTATGGTGAAAATGAGATTAGGCCCTCCCAAGAAGTACAGTGTCATGACTCTGAATATCAAAGCTACAATTAATGCACTGAGAGATGTTCAATGGGCTCTGATGCTCTGCTCTACTCTGCTGTGGGTGCCATTTGTTCTGGAGACAAGTAACTCTGTAGTCTGCTAACTTACTTCTCTGGCTTCCCTTAGAAGGTGGGAAGTGGGAGATTCAAGAAACCATGTACAGAGAGCAATATCCCTGCACTAGGAGGGGTCATGTGCATCTTAAAAGTTTTTTTGTAGCAGCCGATTGGTATTAAAACAACAAACTTGCAACTAACCTGGATTTTACCAAAACATCACCAAACAGAATTTTCCAGTAAATATTTATACAGGACAACTTTAAACATTATGCTAGAAGTCTTTCCAACAACAAAAATGTTGGGAGTTAAATATTAAAAAAAAGGAACTGAGTAAAGTCAGTGATTTATCCTCTTTTGAGCAAAGCATAGATACCATTGTGTCCAGAACTGATTAGGAATGAATAAATGGGATAATGAACTTAGAGAGACAAGTACAAAGGCACAAGATCTGCACCTTAGATAAAATACTGATTATTCATGACAAATCCTCTGTATGATGAGCCATTTGCAAGTAGAAAAGAAAAGCATCGATTTAGCATTTTAAAAAACAATGTTCATTCTCATTATAAATGTCTATTCTTTTTTATTTTTAATCCCTTTCCTCCTTTCTGCCCAACTCCCCACATTCTCCCTCTGGTAACCATCAGTTTGCTCTCTGTATCTGTGAGTTCATTTCTGTTTCATTTTGTTTGTATGTCTTGCTTTTTAGATTCCACATATAGGTGAAATCATAAGGCATTTTTCTTTCTCTGTCTGACTTATTTCAGTTAATATAATACCCTCTAGGTCTATCCATGTTGTTTCAGGTAGCAAGATTTCATTCTTTTTTATGGTTGAGTAATATTCCATTGTATATATGTTCCATATCTTCTCTATCCATTCATCTATTAATGGACAACTAGGTTGTTTCCATATCTTGGCTATTGTAGATAATGCTGCAATTAACATAGGGGTGCATATATCTTTCTTAATTGTTTTCGTTTTCTTCGTATAAATACTCAGAAGTGGAATTGCTGGGTTGTATAGTTTTATTTTTTAATTTTTTGAGGCATCTCCATACTGTTTTCCATAACATTCTATGGAAATGTCTATTCTTGAAAATTTGGAAAATTCTGAAAAATAGAAGGAAAAGTAAGGAATTTACCAATCCATTTTGACAATCAAAGCACCTAGAATGTTTTAGGAGTTTTTCCCGTGTTTGTTATTATGACACTGAGAAACTAGGTAAAAAAAAAAAAATAATCCTCTGTTAGTTGTTAAAATGGATCTATGGCTTTATTTATTTAATGTAAGAACACCACAACATCTTTTAGATTGGGGGGATGTTCTAAAGGAAAGTAGGATATGGTGATTGAACCAAGTAAAACCCAGGGCTGTGCAATGACATATACAACCGATTGTTTTCTGATCACTTTAGTAAAAAGTACTAAAACAGCAGTCATTTCAATGAGAAAAAATAGGATGGGACTATGAAGTGTAGATAACTTTACACTTAGAGCAATCACTACTGAAATGAAGGTTTTTATTGAAGATAAACATTTTTATATTCCAGTGGCAAGCACACAACCATGCTATGTTGATATGGTTACAAAAAATATTCTTAGTAAAGAGTGATTCTGTGTGATAAATGCTTCTCTATTCACGCAATATTCTCCATGAGTTAACAAGTACATGATTTGAACCACATAGAACTGTAGTTGAATCTTTCAGTTAAATTCCTTTAGAGGTGCCTGTTTTCAAGGAGCTGACATGTCACTGCAACATAAGTCACCTGAATGAGGGATGTCATCCCCACTGTCCACCACGGCCCTTGTCCAGTTACTTGTGAACAGCCTTGCGTCAGAATGTGCAATAACTCCCAGCTTGTAACCCCCTCTTTTATGTAGTCTTACAAATATAGAACACTTGAAAGATAATTGCCACCAACACACCACCCAAAATTAACAAATGTTAACATTTTATTTCTAATTATGTGTGAAACACATGCACACACATAAGTAATGAAGCAAAAGGAAACTGAATATAATAAAGCTGAAATCCTTTTTGAGCTGTACTGGGGGGTTAAAACTGCAGCATATGAAATTTGGGAGGACACAATTCAATCCACAACAGCTGTTTGCATCTACCACACCAGAGCTGAGTAGTTATCACAGAGACTATGTGGTCTGCAAAGTCTAAAATAGTCAGCCTCTAGCCCTTTACAGGAAAAGTTTGTTGACCCCTGCAATAGGTGAACATATTTTTACATGGAAAATATTCAAAATATATTCTTAAGTGAAAAGATTACAAAATACAGTTGACCCTTAAACAACACAGGGGTAAGGGGCACCAACCTACCTGTACAGTTAAAAATCTGAGTATATGGGGCTGACCAAGTGGCTCAGTTGGTTAAGAGCTCACTCAAGAGTGCGAGCTCTGAGCAACAGGGCCGCTGGTTCGATTCCCAGCCCGAGCTGAGCTGCCACTGAGCTGCCAACGGGTGGCAGGATGGCTCAGCTAAAAAAAAAAAAGAAAAAAGAAAACAAAAAACCTGAGTATAACTTTTAACTCCCCTAAAATGTAACTATTAATAGTCTGCTATTGATGGGAAGTCTTACAGATAGTCGATTAACACATATTTTGTATGTTATATGTATTATATTCTTTATTCTTACAATACAGTAAGCTAGAAAAAAGAAAATGTTATTAAGAAAATCATAAGGAAGAGAAAAATACATTTATAGCATTTATTGGAAATAAAATCTACTTATAAGTGGATCCATGTAGTTTCAAACCCATGTTGTTTGAGGGTCAACTATAGTGTCTTTTGGAAAATTATCTCATTTGCAAATGTTTACATATGAATAAAAGACAAACATTATACTTTACAATAGTAATAGTGGTGAGACCTGAAGATTGACGCTATAAGTAATTTTTATTTTGTTCTTACTTATCTGTGTTTTCTAATTTTTCTATCATGAAGATATATTATTATTATAAGTATAAAACCAAAAAATTATGCCAGTATGATGTATAAAAAACTAGCCCATCAGGTCATCATTGTATGTAGTAGAAATGACTTTACATTCAGTGTTTACTCCAACTTCTGGTGTACTTTTCTGCACTGTAGAGACTGGAAAACTAAAAACCACATTCCCTTGACTCCCTTGCAGCTGAGGTTCTGGATGAAAATTTGATTCTACCAATAGATGATCCTTCATGAGAAGAAGACTTGCAGCTTTGTCCCTTTCTGCAGGGGCCTGGCGGTGGGGACTGGTTGGAGACACTGGAGCAGAACTCCAGCCTTCATCTCTAGCTCTGAGCTGAGAGGGAGTTGTGGGGTGGCTGACTCAGTCCTGGATTGATCTATAGCAGAAAGTTCTTGAAGTCAATATTTCTAGCAGTAACTTTATGATTCCCTACCTTCCTGATATCATGGAGGCCTATTTTCCCTGGCAGGTCAGTTCTGCAACATTGTTCAATTTTCTAGAATCATTCCTGGACATCTTGCCCAAAGGCAGTCTTTCCTGCTATTTTATAATTACCTAAATCTTTCTATGCCTAAAATAGCTGATTGTTTTCTTGACAGAACCACAACGGATATAAGGGTTCATGGGCAATTTGGGGATAAACTTGTGCTGAAAGAAAAAAATATTTTATGACAAGTTGAATGAAAATTATGCAGAGGTATCAACATTTCAAGTTGTTTGGAATCTGAATTGCAGAATGAAGAATAGAAATAATTGGAAAAACTCTGCTGAACCTAAAACACAACTCAGATCTCTGAGTATAAGTGTAACAGGGTCACGGTTCCTCACCTTCATCAAGATGTACAGATATAACGTGACTTTAAAACTTTTATTCAATGGACCTACTCTTCCCCATGAGCCTTATTGCAAATGGATTTGAGGAGATATGTGAGGAACAGGGACATGGAATTAAATCTGCCTGTTTGTGGTATTTCAACCTAAAGCACACTATTTAATTCTGGTAACAGCTCATTTTCCCAATTCTTCTCCTTTCTCCATAATACACAGGTGCACAACGCTATGTGGACTAATTGTGGCTGGGCCCTCTCCCTCTGCAGACTGCGTTCCTAGACTGAGGACTACTGAGGATCCCTGATCCCCTCTAGGGGTTGGGGCACTATGATGCTACCTACTGGTTGACCCTGTGCCTCTAGTCCTTGCCTCTGGTTGCAAATCCCCTACACTATGGCTTCTTTGTTCTTTGGGGACTCTACTGGTTCTCTGGTCCTTTCACAGCCCTGCTCTGGGGCATACAGGGCTTCCAGATTCCTGGCATGTGTGTGGCAGGCTGTAAGGCCAGGAACCTGCTCCAGGCCCAACAACCCAGTTGAATCCTCTGCTAGTGGCCCTTGTTGCTATGTTGATGTGGGACCTGTGTAGATGTGGGCCCTTCCTGGCCTTCCAGTTGGAGCATGAGGGAGATACTCCTCTGCTTTCAGCTTTCTTCTGAACACATCTAACCTGCATCCATGCTAAGGTTTCAACCTGGAGAGAGGAGGCCAGGACATATGCGCATGGTGGAAAGTTCGCAAACTTAATTGTCTGACAGCGTATGCACCTGTTCTCTTAGTTTCCCATATACTGGGATGGAAAGGGTGATCTTTTCACTTCTTCCTCTCAGTTAGGGAATTCCTCTGTGTTACAATCTAGTCCCACCCAAATAGCTCATACAGGATGGTACTTTGTAGAGGAGGGTAATGTGGTTAGGAGGAGACACTTAGTAGGTGGTTACGGTGGGTGAGTTATAAAGAAAAATCTGGAGCTGCAGAATCCTAGAGGGAAATTGTTGGAAAGCTGATTTCAAATTACCATCCTGGACAGGTTATTTGGTTAGGGATTAGTAGTCTGCATTAGAAGTAACCGCTTGAGTTAAAGCCGACCCTGGACAGGTTATTTGGCAAATAGTACAGCACAGTGCATTACTCAGAATGTGGGCTTGGAACCTGCACACATACTAGCTTTGTGACTTTGAGTGAGCTACACAACTTCTCCAAGGCTCAATTTTCTCATTTATAAAGTGGGGGTCATAATGGTACTTACCTCAGTGGTTTGTTGTGTTATAGGAAACAATGACTATGAATGCATATCAGGCCTGGGCACAGCCTCAGTGTGGCCAACATATCCGATGTTGTCATGAAACTCTCAAAAATTACTGTTGTGAGTACAGAGAGGGAAAGCAATCTGTAAGTACTACAAGAATATAAAATGTTACTTCTTTTATGATGTTAGGTTGGATAGGTTGGAAAAAGTTGCAGGGTACAGCCTCATCTTCACTATGAAGTAGAATATAGACAAAGAACTGGAAATGGAAAATGATAAAGGTGGAGCCCTGGAAGAACTGGAAATGAGGCCAGACAAACAAGCAGAAACACATGAAGGTGATCCTAATGGTAAGAGGGAGGAAAAACTGTTGCCTTAAGGGACCTATGTGCTTAAGGAATAGGCAGTAGTGTCAGACTAAGCTGAGAAAGTTGTAGTTAAAAAAAACAAACAAAACCATACATAAAGGATACATGTAATCACATGCTGCTTGGCCTTATGTTGAATGTGATTATTCAAATTAATACTTCATTCATGAGACTACATTTGTGAGCGCTAAGAATGATACCAGTCTTCCTTGGAGTATGTGATCAGAATTTTTTTTAACTTCTGTTTTTGCATTTTTATTTTGCTTGTGTTTTTGTTCAGAGAATGCACTATTACGGGTTCTGACCAACCAGGTGACTCTCCTGGTCCCAGAGTTCTTGGACCCAGGACACACTCAGGAGAAGGCCTTTGCCCATGACATCAGCTACATACAACACAAGCCTGCAGAAGAGTCCAAAGTCCCACAGCCTGCGGACGTATTCCTTCCTGAGCAGGGCAGTGACATCTCCAGTTCCCCAGCAAGAACTATGCAGCCCAAGGAAGGTGACAACCCCAAATTCTCAACAAAAAACATCCCACCCAAGCAAGGGGACACCCCCAGGTCCACAGGAAAAACCATCCTGTTTAAAGAGGGTAACACCCTTAATTCCTCGACAAAAACCATCCCTCCCAAGCAGGGTGATATTGCCAATTCCTCAGCAAAAACCATCCCATTCAAGCAGGGTGACATCCTGAAGTTTTCAGCAAAAACTACCCTACCAAAGCAGGGTGACACCCCCATTTCCTCAGAAAAAACCATCCTGCCTAAGCAGGGTGACACCCCCATGCTCTCAGCAAAAACCTTTTTGCCCAAGCAAAGTAATGCCTCCAAATCCTCAGAGGAAAAAACCATCCCACCCAAGCAGGGTGACACCCCCAATTCCTCAAAAAAAACCATCCTGCCCAAGCAGGATGACACCCCAAAGCTCTCAGCAAAAACCGTTTCATCCAAGGAGGGCAACACCCTCAAGTCTTCAGAGAAAAATATTTCACCTAAGCAGGATGACATCCCCAAGCTCTCAGCAAAAACCATTTTGCCCAAGGAGGGCAATACCCCCAAGTGTCCAGAAAAAAACATTTTACCCAAGGAATGTGATACCCACAAATCCTCAGAAGAAACCATCCAGCCCAAGGAGGGCAACACCCCCAAGTCCTCAGAAAAAGCCATTTCACCCAAGAAAGATGATACCCCCAAATCCTCAGAAGAAACAGTCCAGCCCAAGGAGGGAGACACTATCAAGACCTCAGAAAAAAACACCCAACTCAAGGAGGGTGAAACCCCTAAGTCCTCAGAAGAAACCATCCAGCCCATAGAAGGCAACATCCCAGCAGAAACAATGGAGCTCTCAGAGGTCAATATGGTGAAAGTGATCCTGAGCAAAGAGGACTTCGAGTTGGCACTCAAGGAGGCTGGGGAGAGGCTGGTGGCTGTAGACTTCTCAGCCACATGGTGTGGGCCTTGCAGGACCATCCAGCCCCTTTTCTGTTCCCTGTCTGTGAAGCACAAAGATGTACTGTTCCTGGAAGTGGACATTGATGTGTGTGAGGAGCTGGTGAAAGACCTTGAGATCATTTGTATCCCAACCTTTCAGTTTTATAAAAAAGAAGAAAAGGTGGGTGAAATTTGTGGTGTCCTTAAGGAAAAACTTGAAACAATCATTGCAGAATTAAAGTAATCATGTATTCTGAAAGCATTGTAAAGAGTCGGCTGTTTATAGCTTATGATTTTCTATTCACAAAAAAGAGGCATAACAAAAATATATGTCCAAATGGCCCCTATTTGTAAGTTATAAATATTAACTCTATCTATTTCAAAAAGAAGTCAAAGCACTAAAGTATATTGTGACCATGTTTTTGTTGATAGGAAAGTGTGATATTAGAATTTGCTTTGGTGGCGATTGAGTCAAGCTGTCCCCTATTTTTTAACTTTTTCTTTTTCTACTCACCCTTGGAAATTTAGCTCATTTAGTGTTAGGGGCAACATTGGAAATTTAGACAATTCTTCTGTAGAAGTACATGATTTAAAGATTAGTGGAAGCTTCTTTTCTCATGCTTACATAACTTTGGGGTTCCTGATAAGACACTTTTGGAAATAAAGAATTTGAAAGATTCACATATTGTATCTAACCTTCTTCTTATGCAGGGAGTGCTACGAAGCCTTGGGGAATTCCATGGGCTTGCCAACCCTGTATGGCTTTCGTTGGTGGCAGAGCTGAGACCAAGGCCATGTTTCCAGATTTCAAGTCCAGGCCTCTTTCTATTATCCGTGCTCACAAAATCTGAAACAGAGCTCAAAATTTCTGGTTTCTCAGGCCAAGAGGTTTATTTATTATTCAGGTTTAAGTCAGTGTGCTCCTTGGTGCCATTGTGACATCAACTCCCTGGTGGCAAAGTTCCTGCTTTGTCCCCTGGTAACTGAGTTTCTGATACCTGCTCCCAGATGTCTCAGAGCCCAAAGGCCCAGGTCTGGGCTACAGATGGTGGCTTGGTCTACCATCTTATCCACAGTGGATACCCTCTAAGACCCCCAGTGGACACCTGAAACCACAGATAGTACTGAACCCTATGTATACTATGTTTTTTCCTACACATACACACCTTCTTTTCACTCAAAGGCTTCTCTTTGGCATATCCAAATTGCCAGAATCTTGTGCTATGGGGCCATTATTAAGTGAAATAAGGGTTACTTGAACACACGCCTTGTGTTCCAGCATAGCCAATCTGATAACCAGATGACTAATGGGCAGAACAAAGGATGATTTCACATCCCAGGTGTGATGGAGGAGGTCAGCACAAGATTTCATCATGCTATTTAGAACAAAAACTTAATGAATTGTTAAGTTTTCACAATTTAAAACTTGTGAATTGTTTATTTCTGGAATATTCCTTTTAATATTTTCAGACTGAGGTAACTGAAATCATGGAAAGCAAAACCATGGACTACTATAGTTTTTGTGTTTTTAAAAAATATGTATACAAACAATTGCACATATTCAATGTATACAATTCAATGAGTTTTGGCACATGTATACACCCATGATATCATTACCACAATCAAGGTAATTAACATACCCATCACCTTCAGAAATTTCCCTGTGTGTCCCTTTCCTTTTTTGTGTGTGGTAAGAGACCTTAACATGAGATCTAACCTCTTAAGTTTTTAAGTGCTCAGTGCCATATTGTTAACTATAGACACTATAGTCATACAGCAAATCATACAAATTTATGTGTACAGTAAATCCCTAGAGGGAATTCATGTTATGTAGCTGTAAGTTTATACCCATGGAACAACAACAACTCATGCCTCCCCCTATTCCCTGTCAGCCACCATCCTAAGAATTTGAACTAGTTGTCAACATTTCCAAAAACAGGATTCCCTTTAAAATATTGAATCATAGTTTTTCTTGAAAAATTGTAAAATATAGCAATTCAGGTTTGCATTACCTCAAGAAACTAATCTAATCCTAGGAGCTTAGTGGCAGCTACGTTCATTAGATGGGACATGCTTTCTCGAGTCCACTGCTGAGGATCTTGGCTGGCTGCTTCATTTATCCAGTTGAGTTGCAATCCCTATTCTTCAGCTAACTACAGGAGTGGGACTGCTCCAGCAACTTGCATCTTGTATTTACCCTGACTCTCCTTAGTATCTCAATCATAGACTTCATTTGAACCATTAAAAGCAGCCACCTAAAAACAGCAAACAAAAGAACGTACATACTTGACCTTTTTTTCAAAAATATTTGAAATGACCTACAAAAAGTGTTAATGATAAACCTAATAAACTAGTAAGAAGAAATTAGGAACATGAAAATTAATAATAAGTCAACTCTGAGGGCTCATATTATAGCTCTGATTGAGTGGCGAATTTTGTTCTGAGCTTCTTAGCAACTGGGAGGTGGAGCAAGAAAAGGGAAATTCGATTAACACCTGAAAGGAGCAAGCATCAGAATTTGAAAAAGGAGTCAAAGCTGCCCTGTAACTAAATTCCTGAGTGAAAATTTTCATCTGGTAACTTAAGTTTGCAATATTGAACAATGGATAATATTCTTGACAATATGTCTTATAATTCAGAAAAAAAAACCTCATATGGCTATTCCTGGTAATGATCTTCCATAGAAGCCAAAACTGTAATCATAAAGCATTTTCCAATGAACAGATTCCAGATTCAAGATGTATAAGTATGTAGCTTTTATATTTTCATATATATGGATGTTTACTAATGATTTATATAGCTGTTCTTTCCCTCTGTAGAGAGGTCTTTCTCTGACTTTTTCACTGAGATTTGTTCCTGTTCCATTTTGAATAAGAGTTGTGCTTCGCTTTCCTCACTGACTTACATCAGGAATAGGCAAAACCCTCAGCCTGTTCATATTAGAATAAGAATACATTGGTAATAAAAGTAAAAAAAATTCACTGAAAGACAGGGAAATATAAACAAAAGTCAACCAGATGTTGATAGTACAGCCAGCAAGAATGTAGGGAAATGGTACTACTGATGAGAATTAAGACTGCTATAAACCCTTAGCAATATAACAAAAGTGCAGACAACTTTGTGAACTTTAGCTTTTGTGTGAGTCTGCTAGGGCTGCCATAACAAAATACCACCGACTGGAGGACTTAAGCAACAGAAATGTATTTCTCAGAGTTCTGGAGGCTGGACTTTCAAGATCAAGGTGTCAGCAGGGTTGGTTTTCCCTGAAGCCTCTCTCCTTGGCTTGTAGATGGTGCCTTCTCACTGTTTTGTCTTCACATAGTTACCCCATCTGTGTGCTCACATCCTTAGTGTCTGTGCATCCAAACCTCCTCTTTTTAGGAGGATATCAGTCAGATTGGATTAGGTCCCACTCCAACAGTCTCATTTCAGCTTAATCATCTCTTTAAATACCTTATCTTCAAATATAGTCACATTCTGAGGTATTGGGGGTTGGGGCTTCAATATATGAATTTTGGGATGGACACAATTTAGCCTGTAACAGTTTAAGATGAGGCTCAAAGGCCGGGCCTGAAGAATCCTCTGGGGATGCACCACAGAGAAAACAATTTCTAAGGGAAGCTTAGGAGCCCCAGCAACATATCAGAAAAGCTGGGAGGTGGTGCCTAGGAAGTGCTGCCTCAGAGCTCTATGGAGTCAACCTTAAAAGTGAAAACAAGGTGTTGGCACAGTTGCTTTCTCCTGGGGCCTCTCTCCTTTGCTCTTATCCAAAGACCAAAGAGAAGACTGTGCCAGAGGGGTCTGCAGTATCTGTTTAACATAGGCCTTCAAGCACGATATTATGATATCAAGAAATCATAATATCAAAGCCTCAGGTGGCAGTGAGGCCAATGGTCCATTTCTCCAAGTGATTCTTCTGCCTTGAAATAAATCTTGGGAGTATGGATAGGCCTATCACCAAGCTCTTGTACCCCAGGGCAAACGGCCTTCCACTGCCTTCCTACACCTCCACAAGCTGACTGGATGCTTGGGAATGCAGGGCCTGTTGAATTCTCTTCTGCTCTCCCATCCAGGAGGGGGATGAAAAAACTAAAAGTGGTTCAGGCATTCTATTTAAATCAGGGTCTCTCAAATTAGTAATCATAAAAACCACATGGGGTGCTTGTTAAACATTTAGATTTCTAGGCCTCTGTATTTCAAACTCACATTCAGTAGTGTAGGCTGGGGCCTAGAGATCTCTCCTATAGTCCAAAGGAAAATCATCCAACAAATTAAACTGTCCCCTCCCCCATCCTGCACACACTGTGGTTCATAAATATGCTTCCTCGCTCTCAGGACAATTACTCTCTAGAACAGCATCTAATCTCCACTGACCTTTCTAAAAAACCACAAGAGTTGTCTTACCCTAGAATTGGTCACCTTCTCAGTGGCATTTCCTGCTTACATCTCAACTTCTCAGTTTGGAATACCACTGCCAGGGAGGTAAGGACCATACAGCCTGTGGGGGTTTTTGTGGTCCAAGTTCCATTCAATAGGCCAGGGCTTAGGTGGGTCCATCTCCTTTGAGATCTCCCACTAGTATGAATCCCTGCTAGCATGCCCCTATTTTTCTGATAATTCAGAGCATAACTGATGAACAAACATACACACTTCTAAAATGTAATCACATCTCGGTGATGAATTATTTAACCCTATAAAGACCTTCTTCCTACAGGAACCTTTTCCTAACTGTCCCAATAGTTTGCAAGGCTGTGGCTTTTCCAATGGAGTTAGGACTTCATATTATTATAAGGGGAGCATCCTTACTTCAACACCTTTCTCTCAAATTGGCCCCGCAGTCCTACCAGGAATAAGAAAATGGGTTCATTGCTGAGTCATACTTACAGGGTGTTAAAAAATAAATTGAGGCATATTACAAATTTTAAGTTTATTTGAATAAAAATGGATTCCAATTGGGCAGCTCCAAACTGGAAGTGGTCAAAAGTGCTCTGCTGAAAAGAGCTAGGGTAAAAACTTACATAGAGAAGGTGTGGAAGCAAAGCAAGGAAACTAATTTACCAGCTGGACCTCAAAGCCTAGTTGGCTATTTGTTATTGGTTATCCTTAGGTTTTGATTTCTTAATCTTGATGCATTACAGGCTGAGGTTGTTGTTTGCCTAGGTAGGCCACCAAGGCAGTATGGTGATTTCAGTCTAATGACCTCCTTGTCTAATTAATTTAAAAAGGGCTGCTGCCCATTGACTT